TACGAGTTATATTAATGGAGGGAATGGTCAGTGGAAGATGCATGGCAATTTCAGGAAAGCCTGAAAGGTGGTCTTGAATGCCTGGATTAATATTAACTTTCTGCCAATTCAGTGTCATTAGCAACAAACTTAGGTAATTGATCTATTGCCTCATTTGCATGCAAGTTAATATTAACATGCTAAAGAGTATTATGCGGATAATATTGATGTATTTCCTATCTGTAAGAATGCTACTTAGTTTGTCAGTTATTTTTTTTTTAAAGCTTATTAGCAGGGTAATTTGTACAGATCAGTTGGGGGGGAAAAAAAAGAAAATGGCCAGACATGTAGATACCATTATAGGTGTTGGTGTGCTGATTCTTGGAGTGCATCTTAAAGGTGCATTTTTTTGTTTTCTCACAGTTCAGCATATCAATTGTTCATTTTAATAATAGAATATTTGAATATAAAAGGACAAACTGTTTGTTGCATTTGAACATTTTAAAGTGGAAAGGATGATCCATTATTATCTTCTAATACTGTTTCTCCTTTTTGCAGTGGAAACAATCCTTGGTTTGACAGGTGCCACGATGGGGAGCCTCATCTGTTTTGTTTGCCCAGCGCTTATCTACAGAAAAATCCAGAAGAATAGTTTCATTTCACAGGTTAGTTTACTAATTATTAAAAGAAGCAGGAAGCCATTTTACTTCCACCCTTCATCCACGCTGTTGTGAAGTTTGACTTTTACTTCTGATCTTCTATGGAATATCATCCAAAAATTGGGTGCTTGTATATTCATTATATGTTGGAACATATCCCACACACAGTTCTGTACTCCTGAATAGTGCTATGAAATTCAATTGGAAAAATAAAGTACCTCATTTACATTATGAATAATGCCAGAATGTGTTGCTCCATGTCTACACTCTGACACTGCTGCCTTCCTGTGTTTTCAAGTCTTTTGAAACAGCAAGTAATATTTCATTTCTTTTTCCAACGTTTCCTGTTCCTACAAAATATTTTAAAAGCTTATTCTTAAAATCCATTTCCTGTAGTTCAAGTTAGTTTCTGACAAGTAAAGAATTTTTATCACTCGACCCAGTATTTTGTGAAGTATGCTGTTGATTTGCTAATCTGCTTAGAAGTGTTTTGTATAATCTCTGTGTGGCAGCTAACCCACTTTTTATCCTAGTTACTTAAGTGTTCTGTAGTAGTAGCAGCAAAGGGGAAATTGAAAGTTTGTCCGACCACTATAAATATGCCCTTCTGTGGTGTGATGTTGAAGTGGCATTTCAAAAGTCAGTCACCTGCTCTGCTTTGCCAGCCCATCTGTAAGAGACTTTGTGGAGCACAGCTACCTTTGTAGTAGGAATTGGGGAACACCTGGATCTAAAAAAAGTTTGAACTAGGAAAGTGATATGCAATTTTATTATCAGTCAAGCTATGTAAACCCAATAGTAGTTGCCAAAGGTAGTTCTAGTCAAGATGACAAAATGGCAATGAAAGATAACTGGTATTATTCTTTCATTTGCAGTAGATTGAATTACATCAGTGTCTTACTAGATTTATACATACATAATTTTTCTCATTTAATTGTCCTAGGGCACTTGCAACCAGAAATTCTCTCCTCAGCATCTGTTTTGGTTGTCCCAAGTGATACAGCTGCATTGCCATGAGGACTGAATTTCACTGACAGCTTTAAAATACATGCATTGCATTTAATCATGTGATAATAAAACAGCCTCATAACATTTAAATTACAAAATAGATTTGGAGGAAGAGAATTACTCTTAAAATGTTAATTAACTTTAACCCTCTCTCTTCTTTGGGGTAATATTTGGAGTACTTGACATTAGTTAAAAGTAGATCAAACTATAAAAATGAAAATGATTTAAGTAGTTCATTGTGACAAGCTGATGCATAATATCCATCTGTCCTCAGTGGTCGAAAATCTTGTCTAATGGTCTCCATAATGTTGCAGCTTTGCGTTTTTGCTTTGTAAATTGTGTTCTTCTCCACCTATTTACTTTTGCATTTACTTTACTTCTGTAATATGGTATTACAATGTACATTTTCCAAAACATGTTTCAAAGGTACTTAGTTTCATGTGGCTTTAATTCCATAAGAAACTGTTACCGTGTGTCTTAATTTAAAAAGTTGCTTTGATCATTGAACTGAGGCCAAATCAACCAATGAATAATAAAAGCACTTTGTATTTTCTTTTCAATGTCCCCTATTAGTGGGTTCATGTGGGAACCCATTTTATAAATAGAACAACATAAGAAAAATCTTTGATCTAGTCACTTAAGCTATAGTGTCTAAATAAAGTTTACAGTAAGCTAGTTGGCTATACTTCCTTAGTGGCCAAATTATTGCTCAGTGCATAAGTTTAAAGATATTTTTGCTCTTTTTTTCTATCAGGTCAACAGGTTTGCAACAACAGATGTGCAGGGGAAAAGGGCAATCTACACAGCTTTTGCCATTGGTCAGGCATTATTTCTCCTAAAATAACCAATTAGTGTGTCCAATGTGATAAGATAGAAATTCACTAATATTTTTACTGTGCGACTGTTTCTGAAATGAAGCACTCTTTCTAGAAACAGACAAATTTGTATTCCACTACTCTCTTGGACTGGCTCCAACATATTTTGTTGCAAACCCTTCCATCTGTTAACTGTCACTCCTCAAATTGTTAGTCAGTTTATTGAGACCAAATGAGGGATAGAAACAAAGGAGGCTAGATTTAATCCTCGATCTGCTCAAGTTAACTGATTTCAGGTAGAACAGAGGCAGCAGTGCCGTATGTGATGCTCGTACCTTGAGTTGAGACAGAAAGATTAGTCAGGTTTTCTGTGATCTCTGCTGTGAGTACCTGTGGATATTTGGTGAGGAAAGCGATGTATATTGTTGTGCTATTCACACAGATTTTCAAACTTGATGCCAAAGTTCAGGCATCGAGACTAAGAATTTAGGGTGACACAGTGGCTCAGTGGTTAGCACGGCTGTTTCACAGTGCCAGGAACCCGGGTTGATTCCATCCTCGGGCAACTGTCTGTGTCGAGTTTGCACATTCTCCCTGTGTCTGCGTGGGTTTCCTCCAGGTGCTCCGGTTTCCTCCCACACTCCAAAGATGTGCAGGCTAGGGGATTGGCCATGATAAATTGCCCTCAGTCTGTAGATTAGATGGGTTATAGGGGGCTGGGATGCTCTGAGGGGCGGTGTGGACTTGTTGGGCCGAAGGGCCTGTTCCCACACTGTAGGGATTCTATGATGATTCCATGAATTTAGCAATACAGTAGAGGGTTACCAGTGCAGCAACATGAGAAGGAGGAGGAACTTCCATTAGTGCAATTCCTTTTACTGTGTCTCTGGTGTTTTGCTTTCAAAGTGCAGTTATTGTTATGTAGAAAAATGTGACTACTAACTTGCATACAGTGAGTCCCAAACGCAACAATTTTGTAGTACACCATGTCAGTAATACAAGGACCAGCTAATGGTGTGCAGGCTAGAAGATTAAAAAAGTTAGATTTTTTTGGGGGTTGAGTTAGTTCCGAGTTAACATGCCTGATCACGACAGATTAGATGCTCTGTAACATCTTGGTAATCTAATACTTGAGCACTTTAGATAGCATTGAGGAACACTGGTGATGTTTTGAAAGATGGCTCATCCATGCTTTCACATAGGATTAGTCACTGTTCTTCCAAGTTGCCCCTAGAAAGCCTTGTAACTTAAACCCCTCAAATGTGGGTAGACACCTTGGTAGAAATTTGCTAGTCCATTGTGCTGAAGACCTGCAAGTGTTTGACTGTTTACATTCTCAAAGTGCTATTTGTGTGCCAACTTCTTAAGCCGTTGAGCTTTGCACAGCATTGAATTAGTCTGGGTGTGGGCTAAATGGGGAATGTCTGAAAAAGAGACCACTTGATCTAAAACATAAAAGCATAAGAACCAGGAGCAGGAGTAGACCATCTGGCCCTTTGAGCCTGCTCTGCCATTCAATAAGATCAGCCATGATCTTATTGAATGGCCTCAGTTCCACTTACCCACCCTCTCACCATAACCTTTAATTCTGTTACTATTCAAAAAATTATATATCTTAGCTTTAAAAACATTCAATGAGGAAACCTCAACTACTTCACTGGGCAGGGAATTCCACAGATTCACAACCATTTGGGTGAAGAAGTTGCTCCTCAATTCAGTCCTAAATCTGGACCCCTAATTTTGAAGATATGCCCTCTTGTTTTAGTTTCACCCGCCAGTGGAAACAACCTCCCTGCTTCTGTCTTATCTATTCCCTTCATAATTTTATATGTTTCTATAAGATCCTCCCCTCATTCTTCTAAATTTCAATGAATATAATCCCAGTCTATTCAGCCTCTTGTCATAAGCCAACCCTCTTAACCCTGGAATCAACCGAGTGAATCTCCTCTGCACCCCCTCTGGTACCAGAACATTTTTCTCAAGTAAGTAGACCAAGACTGCACACTACTCCAGGTGTGGCCTCACCACCACCCT